CATGGTGAGCAATCTTCAGGCTACCATCCAAGGTCTCGAATCCGACAAGGCTGGTTTGCAGAAACATGTTGAAGGACTCCAGGCCGACATCGCCGACAAGCAAGCCGAGATCGAGACGCTCAACATTGACCTCGCCGGTTCCAAGGCTGCCAACACGTCTCTTGCCAGCCAGAAGCTCGAGGTGAACAGCGACATGTCAGAGCTCCGAACTTCCCTCGACATTGCCAAAACCAACATCGAGAGGCTCATCGTAGAGAAGGCGACTCTCCAGGTACACGCCGAGAGAGCCAACTCCTTGATTGAGGCAAAGGCTGCGGCCGAGTCCAAGATCTTGGAGCTCGAGCGCAAGATCATGACCCTTCAAGCTGAGCTGGACAGGATCCCTGTTCTGTCTCGTGAGAAGGAAGCCGCCGAGGGCAAGGTCGTCGAGGTTGAGGGTCGCGTCGCCCAACTGCAAACCACGATGGACGTTCGCGTTGCTGAGTTGCAGACGGTGATGGAGAACCGCGTCGCCGAGTTGCAGGGCACGATCGCCATCCTCGAGGGCAAGCTCACCCAGGCCCAGGTCGAGGCAGACAAGATCCCACAGCTCGAGTCGGCCAAGGCTACGGCTGAAGGTAGGGTCTCGTCGCTCCAGGATACCATCATGGACCTGCAAGGCAAGGTGACCCAGCTCAGGTCAGAGCTCAACAGAGAGCCGGATGCCATCTCAAAGGGCCTGAGAGCCGAATTGGATGCCACCAACGCCGAGATTACCAGGAGAATGAACGAAACCGCAGCACTAATCGAGGAGAGGACGGCGCTGTCCACACAGCTTCGCAACACTCAGCAGCAACTGGCCACGACGCAGGAGTCTCTTGAGTCTGTCCAGCACGCTTACGAGTCGGCCAATGGACAGATCATTGAACTCCAGCAACGTGTTGAGAGTTTGGGTGCAGTATCAGTGTCCCGCCGGTCCAGCAAATCTCGCAACTCGTCGCCACAGAAGAAAGGAAAGGACTCCAGCAGCAAGAAAAAGGACAAACAAGCGGTGGTTGTGCGGAACCCAGCCGACAGAGGAGGGGCCTTGTCAGTTATGCTACAAATCGCTTCGGCCATCTAACGTCATCAACCTCGAGCTAACCGACGCTCGTGATTCCAGGGAGATTCTTTTTAGACGTGAATTCAGGTCAGGCAGACGATCTGAGAGCTCGAGCGCAAGCTCCAGTCCCAGATCTACGCCAAACTCCACGCCTCGTACTTCAATGGATTCTGTTGGATCATACAAGATGTATTAATGATCAATGTACATGTACCACTGGACCGGGGGAGACCACACCACGCACACGCATCCACACCACACCACACAACACCATCTTGGGAGCCCAGTGACGAGGAAATTTTTGCTTCTTTTTTCCCTTCTTCTCTTCTGGTCTGTTTTTTACCCCTGTTCCTGTTTTTTTAACTTGTTTTCCTTGGCTGAAGCAACCCTATCCTCGTCACATCCCTCACACAACAGTAACTTTTTTTTTTTTTTTTTTTTTTTTCTTTCATTTCGACAAAAGTTCGTGTTATTATTATTTTTTTCTTGTTTGTTTTGTATCATTTGTTGGATATCCCTGTGTTTTTGGCGGGTTTGCTTTTTTTTTTTGGATTTTTGTCATGTTTCTATAATTTCTGGTTTTTTTTGGTTTTTTTTTTTGATGGAGGCACACGGCTTTGTCATGTCACGATTAATATTGATGATGGATGACGAGTCATTTGGAACGTTGGGCACGAAAAGTCTTTTGGGGAATTTTCTTTCTGTTTGTTGGGTGGCATTTGCATGATTTGGAGCGGTTGCAGCATTTATCATCTCATGGGGAAGGTTAAGGGGCATCATAGACTAGAAACCAGGAGTCTCGATGACCCACATTTTTTTGGGGGGGGATGGAAGATGATTCATGCAAGGATAGGAGTTGTCATTGTTTTCCTATTGTTTGTCTATTTCTAGCGATTTTGGTGGAACTTGAAGGGCAGGAGTGACTACCATAGCTTAATGATGAATTGTTTCTTTTTTGTTCAGCTGACCTATTTCGAGATGTTTTATATATGGTCTTATGGAGGGTTTGGATGGAAGCGAGGAGTGGTTGGTATTTCATGCCGTGTAGATGCCGGGTCCTACTTTATTTATATATCCGCTATCCGACGTCTGGGTATCTGGGCGTCGGAGGGGTAGATCCCGGACAAGTCAGCTTCATTAATTTTTCCGTCCATAAAGTCCAGTACTCCAGAAAGGACCTGGAGTTGAAGGAAGGGAAGTCAGGGATCCCCGCACAGGAGGGGAATGGAATTGAAGCGCGCCGCTGAGAAGTCGTATCTGATGTCATGCGTGGGGAGCTGAGTGGGAAGTAAACACACACATAAACACACACACACACATATATATATATAATGTATGTGGTTTGTTGACAATGTCTCGATGAGAATTGTCGATGCTTTTAGAGTTCTCAACCTGCTCCCGACCAAGCTCGTTTCTTTGACAATGAGATTCCTGAAGGCATCTTTTTTTGCCCTCGTGGCTCGTAAGTTACTTTTCTTCATTTCCAATTGCAATTATTTGGGCACACCTCGAGTTCTCTCCCTCGTATCCCCTGATATGTAGCAACAACAACTATCTGGTGTTTTACTTTGTATTTTTGTATGTGCTTGGGTAAAAAGCTAACAGTCTATTGTTAAAAACGCGGAGTCCTATCAACGCCTATCTTGTCGCAGTTTGAGCATATACCACTGACGGATCCGACGACGGGAATTGTCTTTCAGAGTTGGAAACCGTCGGAACATGTCACGTTTGGGTTGGCGTTGCCTAGGGATGCGTTGAGTGTTGATGCTGGGGAGTTTATTGGATATCTAGTGTGTAATCCCGTTTCTTTCCCCCCTTTTCTCTTCTCTACTTTTTCTCTTTGCCTTATTTTGCCTTCAAGCTTTATTTTCTTTCTTACGTTCAACCTTTTCCTTTCCGACCTTTTTCGTTGTCTTTTTTGTATCGTTATTTGTATTTGTGTCTGTCTGTCTGTCACATTGTTTAACCACTCCAATGATGTCTGTTATTCCTGGGACCAAAAAAAAAAAAAAGGTTTCTCGGTTTGCTTTTTTGCTGATATATAACAGTCCTGCACATCATCCAAATGGTGCGGCATCTCCCTAGGAGGCGGAATGCTCTCTTCTCTCCTCCTCCTCGCCTATCCTTCCGGCTCTCAAGTCCTAACCTCCTTCCGCTGGGCAACCGATTATACTCTACCAGTGGTATACACCGGCGACGCTAAATTGACTCAAATCTCCTCAAAAGTAAATTCTACCGCTGAAGACGACTACGAAATCATTTTTCGTTGTAAGAACTGTCTAAAATGGGTTCAAAAGGGGGAAGAAGGAACCGCAGGAGCTGTTTCTACGAGGGAAGGATTTTTAGTTTTGGGATGGGTTAGAGGATTGCAAGAGGTTGGATATGAGGGGGAGAGAAAATGTGCGGATGAGGTTTTGGTTGGTCAACATGAGAAACAGGGGATATTTGGGGCTGAGTTGGATGGAGGGGTTGTTAAGGAAGGGAAATGGGAAGAGTGGGTTGGGCTGGATGAGGGGAGGGAAGTGAAGGGGGATTGTGGAGAGATAAAGATTTGTAGGAAGAGGTATGAGGGGAGGGATTGATGAGTGGGCTGATGGTTATGGAGGGAGAGGACTTGGTGGTGAGTGGAAGTCAGGGGAGAGGGGAAACGGTGTTGTGAAAGTACTCTGATATATACGACGAGAAAATAAAGTATTGGAAAACGCCTGAACCCCATGTTTTTACTGCCTTAAGAAATACCCCGAACAAATAAACCTACTCAAAAAAACGTATATATCTTACACAACCATACATACTGTCTTCATTTAACTTGGTCCGGGTCCCGGCCCCGGACCCGGCGCCCGAGCAGCAGGAGCAGGACCAGGCACAGCCTCTCCATACCCAACCGAACTCCCAGACCACCAAGACATGTGACTATAACTCTTGCTGTGTCTAGAAGACCTCCTCCTCCTCCTCTCTCGAGCTTTTGCCCTCCTTATCCTCATTGATTCCCCGTATTTATACAAGAAATAAAAACATCCTCCAAGAAATAACGCAAGCAACAAACCGACGACGACGCCGATGATGGTGTTTTCTTGTTGAGGGGTTGTGTATCGTTTTATTAGGAGGGCGGAAAGAAAAACATGATGATTTGGGTTTGGAGGACTGCCGGGGAAGAGGGGGCTTCTTGGGAGAGGTGGGATGTGCATTGGTGCGGGGGTGAGGGGTATTTTTTGTGCGCGCGAGAGAGAGAGAGAGCAGCTGAGGTGTGCCAATTGGAAATTTTATTTAGAGACACTTGAATGTACATGTGAATTGTTTCTTTTAGGTCAAAAAATTAGTTGACAAGAAAAAAAGTAAAAGAGAAATTGATCGGGGAGACCGGGAGAATATGAGAAAATAATGTCACTTTCTCGTCAATAACCCCCCAGACGGCAAAGAAATGTTGCGATATCTTTCTCTCGCATATGTATGGCGGACTGCCCCATCCCCTCACTCTTCTGATTCGGAGGAATAAAAAAACAGGGCTGCATTTTGTTGCATTTTTTTTCCTTGAGAGGAGGGGGGTTGTGGTCGGGCGGCAGCGGCAGAGTGGGATTGGAGCCTACCTATCTATCTCTCTCTCTTTTCTTCCCGTCCTTCCTGGCGAAAGACGGGGAGGCTTTTCTCTTCCCGTTTAAAGAAAAGCCGAGATAATTTGGGGGTGTATTCGGCCCCTTCGCATGACAGCCTGCAGCATTTACATGCACAATCCTGCATTTCATCAATCGTCTTTGACCTATCAGAAAAAAAGGATGAGCATATTATCTCTGCAGACAAGAAAATCATCACACCCAAGTCAGGTGAACAGTCATCGGGTGTGTTTCCCATGGTTCAGAAGTTGCCAATCCTTTCATTCATGACGAGCCAAAGACCAAAAATGATTTCTCCCTCTGTTCATTGCCCACAGCCAGAATCGAACTGACGACCTTGTCATAGAAATTTGTAAATACTAGTGACACGCTCTACCACTGAGCCATGCGGGCTTAAAGAAAAGACAAGAGAGAAAAGAGAAGCTACTGCCACAGCAACTCGGTTGCCCACAGCCAGAATCGAACTGACGACCTCATCATTACTAGTGATGCGCTCTACCACTGAGCCATGCGGGCATGTGTGACCCTGTGCTTGGTTGACTCTGAAAACACAATGAGGGAATTGTGGCTATAAATCCAGTTCCAGCGGAGAGTGTGTATTTGTGTGAATAAACTGCATGGAATTTGCCTGGTAGGTTTGGCTCTAGTCTACCGCTCAATATACCATCTTGACCTTTTCCTCGGCCTTTCCCACGGATCCCCACGTTCAGCCGGTTTCTGTTCCCCCGCATTTAGTCCGGGATGTAAGTTCCGCATATTGTGTATTCCGGCCTGTATCCCTCCCAACGTATTCTCCAATCTCTCGGCATCCTTCACCAGTTCATCCTGAACTTCACATCTCCCTTTGTGTCCAGGAGTTCTCGATAACCTCCGGATCGACTCACTCGCACCCTGAAGTTCTCGAGCTGTAGCTTCCAGCGCGCGAGACAATTCTGGGTCTAATCGTTGTTTGTATTGATCATCCTTTGTGGTAGATAAAGCAGCAGAAGCGGCGGCTCGTTTGGCTTCTTTTCTTTTCTTGATGACTTGTCTGACACCGACGGCTAGAAGACCAACTGCTACTTGGCTGACGAGGGAGTGTATATCTCGGTCTGTATCTCGGTCGGAGTCTCGATCTCGAGCGGTTGCTCTGGAGCGCGACCTGGATTTGGATCGAGTGCGCTCGCGCTCGCGCGGACCAGATGTTTCTCGTCGTCGCGAGCTGCCACTGCCACTGCCGCCACCGCCGTTCTTTTCGTTCAGCTTTTTGACGACAAAGGGGAGGACGACCCGACCGAGATTGAAGAGGATTTCAGGCGCTGGCGACTTTTTCGGAGGACTTGGGGAGCGTCGAGAGGAAGCGCGCTCGGCTCGGCTTGCTGCGCGGCGAGAGCGATGCGAGGACATTGTCCCAGGTAAGATGTTCTTGTTGTGCTGATTTATTGGAGAGAGTGTTCAGATTTAGTAGACGACTTGGTAGAAAGGATGAAATGCAGTCGGAAATTGCTTAGACACATCGGAGACATATTTGCGATATTTTATCACAGATTTGTCCTTGGTGTTGCATGTGCGACTGATCGGAGCTAACAGTCGCGTGGAGGTTAGGTGTGATGGTTGCCAGTCAGACACGAGCGCATCGATCGCATGACCTTGTGACTGATCAAGACCACCACCCACCCACACGAGACTGCAGTCGCTCAACTTTGTTTGCTCTTATCATCCAGTATAGCCAGTGTCACGTCGCCTTTTATCTTTGCCTTGAGCTCAATCTCCATATCCAAGTCCATATCAAGTCTGACCGCGGGAGCACCCCCGTGGTCGCTCTGACTCCCAGATTGCGCCGTGACTTGTTCTTGCTCTCGTCGCGGGGCTATTTGTTTGTTCTCGTCTGAGTTGTACCTCGCATCGAGGCCTCCAATGGGAGATCTTTCTTCCCAGTCTTGTTGTTCGCACACGAGCGTTTGGGTTTGGTTCGACTTGGTCGAAGACATGTTGAATGGGATACCGTTCTGCGGTGTTGGAGCTGAAGGGGTTCGAAAAAGAATGGTTTCGATATGAAGGAAATCGGGAATTTCTTGAGAAGAGGTTGGATAAAACCTGTGCAAGATTAAAAGATGGCGACTGCGATGACATCATATCAAGCTCCCTGCGCCGCATCGTGTCGATCAAAAAATGGCGGCGCGACGAGGAGCGGAAGGTTCCGCATTCATTTATCAAGACGAACAACAATGACCGTAGAAAGAATATTTCTATTTCTCGACAGAACTCTCTCCAGGTCTCCCAAATCCATTCTCTTCCTCAATTTTCTTTCCAATATTATGCAGCGCCAGCAGCAGCAGCCTTCTCCTTTGCTAATTTGGCCATCTTCTCAGCAGCCAGGTTGAGACTTGGGAGGTTCGCACCCTGAATCATCGCTTGGCCGTTTACTGCGACTTGGTTTCCATCCTTGAAGAAGAGGAACGTTGGCATGGCAGAAACGCCGTATTTTACAGCGACGGACTGTACGTTGTCGACGTTGATCTTGGCGAAAGCGAGGAAGCCGGGGATGGAGAACGTGCTGGCCATCTTCATGTAATGGGGAGCGATCTGCTTGCAGGGACCGCACCAGTCTGCGTAGAAGTCGGTAATGACATATCGGGTGGATTTGAGGAGCTGATCGAACTCGGCGTGGGAGGCGATGTGCTTGACGGCGTCGGCCATTTTGGGTATCTTTCAACGGTGAAGTGGCTGAGAATAAGGTCGCTCAGATGTTGCGCAATAACGATTTATGGTGCGCAAAGTGGAGGATCGTAATCGAGAATCAAAAATCGAGGTGGTTGTTTGGAGAGACGATGGTTGGGATGCAGGAGAATTGCGCAATGAAACAGCATCGCGGGGCATCAAAAGACGACAGCGAGCTTTCTGGTGGCATCCATTTGCAACGACAGGGATCTGTCAGCGACGGTGCCCCGCATTATTAATTGTTAGTGACAACGCGAAATGGGCAGCTTCTTGCCAGTTCCGAAAATACGATGAAGCGAAGAGGATGTTAGTGAGGGCAGTAGAGAGAGGCCGATTTCTGGCTGTAAAAATTAGAGTTCACTAACAGTGGGGTTATGGTCTCTCGTTGTCGGCCAGGCAAGGAGTTTGCGACGGGCCGGTCAAGGTTTCCAAAAGATCCATCCCATCAGATATCATCTCTTGAGAGTAGGCAATTGCGGTATCTCACATCTTTAAAAGACATTCTTGGTTATGTGGCACTTAAAGGAGTATTCCCACGTCGTGCTTTGCAGCTTCCTTAATTTTCCAATTTTTGGGGAAGCCTCAAAATTTGGTGTTTTGCTCCTTCCTGTTTTTCCCCTTCTTCTTTTCCTTGTGTTTTTCTTGGGTCATCGGGGTTGAAGAGGGATATCATTTAGATAATACGGTTTATATCCATAAAGATACTCGGAGTGAGACACTATCTCTCAATCTTTTACCATGTCTCTTCCAACCTCATCTTCTCGGCTTCTCCCAACATGACCTGATTTCTCATCAATTACTCCCCTGTTCCCACCAAGCGGTGTGTTTCCTCTTCATGTTTCTTTCTGGATATATCTCCATCCCCTCCTGCCCCCCAGGGGCGTATTCCTGCTTTACCCTGATCCTTCTGCACAGCCAGCTCACTCACCTCCCAATCTCATCCCAGTCCATCTCATAATCATGATGATGATCACACAGACCGAGATCCCTCTTCTCCGACATCGGGCAATGATTCATCTTTTCTGAAGTGATTCGGATTGTTTTTCCTCCCTTGCAACGGGAATAAGCGGAAGCTAAAAAGACATCCTTGTATCACTTGAAAAGGCAAAATTGAAGACTTTCCGCTTCTTGTACGACCGAGAAAGAACGTGTTGTTCGGCAAAGGCGCAGGGAAAGAGCAATATATTCCCGTGTGAGACATGGCCATGAATTTCGGCTTGTGTATGCCGTCGTAATACTCTGTCAATGCAATGTTTTTTTACTGGTGCGTGGCAATGAAAATATTCAGAAGAACCCAAACCATTGTCGATTTTATTTTTGCCTTGAAACTAAACAAAACAAATCCAATATAGTAGAGAAAAAAAATGAAAGAACCCATGTTTTCCACCCCTTCTAAATAGGCCGTGGGGTATCATGTAAAAGAAAAAGGCGACAAGAAAAAGAGAAAGTAATCTAGTAAAAACCACCCCCTTTTTTTGGTCCAACGTCACACACAAACTTTCTTTCCCCTTGTCCGAGTCTTCTTCATCTCACCACACGCACTTCTTCCCGTCAAAAATATTAATTCTCCTCCCTTTCCCGTCCGTCCGTCGGCTCGGTCTTTTTCACTTTCTACTTGTGCTCCCAAAAGAGATCCACCTTGCCGCCATCCAGCCACTTTTCCATTTCACCATACATGCGATCCCACAGCTCCCCGGAAGCAGTCGGCAGCTGTAAATCAATCTCGTACCCCAACCTAGCCTGAGCTGCACCAAGGTACTGGTAACCCTCTGGGTACTTTTCCAACTCGTGGCGGGCGAAGCTGGGGGCTTTGACACCGTCGGTGGGGACCACTTTATCCTTTTCGTAAAAGAGTTTGACGTACTTGGCCTTCCACTCTCCTGTGGCTGGGTTCTTTTCACAGAAAAAGATGAACCGGCAGTCGCAATCAACGTCGAACTGGCTGGGCTCTGAGGAAGCAGAAGAGGCGCCATTGGAAGGGTGGAATTTGAAACGGTGGGTGATTGTGGCTTTCATCTTGCCGATGGCTCGGTTATGTTCCCGGGAGAGTTCGGTGAGAGTGCCACATTCGCGGTGCATGATGAAGACGCCCTTTTCCTTGCCGGCTTTGGAGATGGCGATGAATTCGTCTACTGATCTGGGACCGGACCATGCTGGGAAGAGTTAGTGGTTGGAATATTTGAGAGTGGGTTAAGGAGGAGAGCTAACTGGTCCAAACTGTTGCGTCCTCAGTAAACAGAGAGCGGTAGTTCTTCCACTCAGAGGCATCACGGTAGACGGGCCATCCTTTGCAGAGTTCTGAGACGGCAAGGCGGTCGAGAAGCTCCTCGGCTTGGCCGTTAATGTGGGAGTATGATTTTGAATGAGGATCCTGAGGGGAAGTCATGATGATGATGATGATGATGGTGTGTAAAAGAGTAATGATGTTGGAATCTGTAAGAGTCTGTTTGAGACCGAGGGATTGCCTCTTATTATATACCTAGATTTATTTCCAACCCCCTTGTCTTCAATGTCCCACCCCAATTGGTCACCAGGGCACAGGGCACAGGGGGAGATGAGAGTGGATGATGCAATCAAGTTCCTGCGGTGAAGGGATTTCGAGCCGGCGTAGCACCCTAAGATGGGACGATGAGTCGAAAAAAGCAAAACTTAAAATGATGATAAGAAAAACCCCTGATGAGCAAAAAAAAGAG